AGCCATCTCTCGTAATTGGTCACTACACAATGCTCCTCCGCTTATGACCACAAGCTTCAGCATACAAGGCAAGCAGGATATTATCTTATCCACTGATAAAAGTAAAATCCAATGGTCAGGATAATTGTCCAAAATCAATGGGCTTAGCAGCATCCACGTGAAAAATACTACCACCCAGATATCTTTCGTCAAAAAACCAAACAAAAAAGAGGAGGGCAGTAGTACCAATAACAAATACACAGATTAAAACTGAAGAACTTGATGTGTTGAGCTCAATAAATCGATGTATTTCGGTAGCTCGTGTCTTTCCATGCCGATAATTCCGATAATTTGTTGATCAGAACAAATAACTTGAAGAAAAGTGGGGTAAATTGTAGGGTAATCTTACCCTAAAATTTGTTGGTTAGCGAAGAAAAAATTACCCGACCTTTAGCATATCGGTCATCATCGTTGGATCAGCCATTGGATTTTGCATTTGTGGCGGTCGTTCCATACCCTGTAAAAATTTGAGGTGGACAAAGGGCAGTATACTGTCAGATATCGATATTCGTGACCTGATAATTTAACAATAATCTTTATTCATAATCATAATCTTTGCTATTATGATTACGAAATAATCTTTATTCATAATTTATTCATAATAATAATCCATTTTTCATGACTAATACTATCGATAATACTTCGTAATCGTAATAACAAAATAGTGATTTTTAAAAGTGATAATAATCACGATATATGTGCTAAAAAAAAATTGAATGCTTAGCCTAACCTTTGTTATATAGCCATTTTCATCATTTAACAAAAAATGTTTTCGCATATTAAACGATAGTTTTGGCAAGAATCGTCCATTTTCCCGCAATAATCGAGAACGTATCAAATACTGGCTGCAAAAGAAAGAAAAATTAATGAAACAAATAACGACCAAAGATCAAAAAAAGAAAGTTGAAAAATGCTGCTCACCACTGAATAATTAGAAAAAATATGGGTGTATTTGCAGAAAAAATATAAATATTGTCAACTCCGATAGCAAAGTTGACGACGATGCAGGGTAGTCGAAGTGACGCAGAAGAAAAGTCGGTTTATCCACAACACTATATTAGCCAACGAACGAATAACAAACCAACAAAAGCAGGGGTATTTATACAGGGAGTACAGCACAATAAAAAAAAAAACACTAAACGGCGCAATCCGATCTATATGCAGTCACAAAGAACATTACAGAAAATTCTGCACAACAATCTGTAATAG